CCCCTTTTACCCCGCACAGCGCCGCCTACCCGCGCGCTCGCTGCGCGGAGACCCGCCTGGCGGGTCCGCGGGGCCCCTCCCCATTGCACCGGCTCCGAATGTGTGGGGCACCGCGAGCGCGCATCGCCTTCCCACTGCGGGCTTTCTTCCCGTCGTTCCCGAGGCCCTGGCGGCCGTTACGGGCGGCTCGAGCCCCGTGCACGGCCTCGTGTCGTTGCCGGAGCGCCTTCACGGCCTCTTCACCTCCACTGACTTTCTGCCTTCCGCCCAGTTACCCCCCAGCGCGCATGACGCGGCCTCCCGTGCTGCCGCTCACCGACCCTTACCCGCGTCGTTGATGCTGCCGCCACCGGAGCCACGAGCCGCCGGGACCGCCGGCACGTCAGCTGCAGCCTCGGCGACAGCGCGTTGGGAGAGCGACTCGGCAGCCACGCTAGCAGCGCCGCTGACGACGTCGACGAGCGCGGCGCTGGAGGCGGGGTTTGCGACATTTGCGGGCTCTGATCGTCACGTCGACGACGGCGCCTCGAGGTGGCGGAGGCGACTGGAGCTGCGCTGCGAGCCCGTCGCCGCCGGCGGCGGCGGTGCGGAGGCAGGCGCAACATGGGCCTTCCCCTCGGCGGAACAGCTGGTAGCAGCAGCGGATGAATCGAAGGGTATCCCTGTGACAGTGACGGAGGGCCTGCCGCGGGCGCTGGAGCTCGCAAGGCGGGGAATGGATAACGCGGAAGGGGACGGGGGTTTAGAGGGCGTGGGCGGAGGCGGGGGCATGGAGGGCGTGGTTGAGACCTGGGGCACGTGGGACACGGCGTGGGGCGCGATGGGGATGGACGCGGGGTTGAGAAGCGCTGGCACCGGCTTGGGCGCGGCGGATATGAGCGCAGACATGGGCATGGGCGCGGGCGCGGGCGCGGACATGGTTATGGGCACGGGGATGGGGATGGACATAGAGGCGGCGGTGGAAATGGAGTTGCGATGCGCCGAGGAGCTACTGAGACGCACCGCCATGGTAGCCGAAGCCGAGGCGCCGGCCATCGCGCCCGAGGGAGAGGCTGACGCGCCCGCCATGGCTCCGCGCGAGGCCGAGGTAACGGCCATGGCGGGAGAGGTCGAGGCGCGAACGGATAGCACGCAGGATAGCGGCATGGCAGACCCGCCGTCGCACCCTCTCGCCCTCGCTGCAGCGCAAGCACCGCCCGTGTCTGGCGGTGACGCACCCTCTCCTGGTGCTGCCCCAGAAATCGCGCGCTTATCCCGCCGCAACACGTGGTCCGCAGCGCCGTTCCCGTCGTCGGCGGACGCGGCGCTGATGCAGGCGATGGAGCTGGATCGCCTGGAGCACGACGCCGCCATGGCGCGCCTCACCGCCATGGCCGCATCTCACAGCGCCAATCCCGCTCTGCCTCCCGCCCCGCCGCTTGCTTCCACCCTCCTTTCCCCAACCGCCCCCAGTACCCGCCTTTCCGCGGCACCCACTTCCGCTGTGCGCGCTGCTGACGCCATTATGACAGCTGCGCCCGCCGCCGCCATGCCTGCCGCCATGGCCGACGGCGCTATGGATGCTCCGTTCCTGCCCGCCCTCGACTTCCCCTCGCGCCCCAAGCGCGCCAAGCCGCTCCACCCGCCCGTGCTGCCCGCAGATAGCGCTCCCCCCGCCAGCCCAGCAGCCGTCTCATTGGCTGAGGCCTTCCGCATGGAGGCGCTCCGAGCAGGCTGGTGGGAGAAAGACGGGGAGGGGGAGGGGGAGATGCGGGATGGAGAGATGCAGGAGAGTGGCGGGCAGGGCGTCGAGACATGGCAGGGTGGTGAAGGAGGAGAGCCAGCAGGGGGAGAAAGCACGGCATGTGGGGCCTCCAGCTGTCACACGAGCAAGCAGGGGGGCGCGCGTGAAGGGGACGGGGAAGCAGTGGACACGGAATTGCCCGGAAGCTTGGAGGGCCAAGCGGACGGGGATGGCGGGGCGGAAGAGCGGGGGAGGGAGGCGGTGATGGAGGGACCCAGCAGCAGCGGAGCAGCGGGGCTGTGGAACCCAGCGAGGGAGGCTGGGGGGAACACTGCCAGTGGCGGGGGCGGAAAGCCAGCCCAGGTGACAGCAGCAGCAGGAGCAGCGTGTGCAGGGCGCGGTGGAGGAGCGATCTTTGACCCCTGGGCGCCCACCCGCACCACCACACTCACTGTCGCCCACCTGCCAGGCATTGCCCCAGCTGTGCAGGAGCTGCTGGCGCGGCGGTTTGCAACGAATCAAGAGCGCTCCGCCCCGCCTGCTGTTGCGCCCGAGGTGCAGCAGCTGTTTGCGCGCCGCCACACCATGTCCGGCACCCCCTCAGTGCGTGACTTCAGCTTGCAGCCCAGCCTGCCCCGCCCCTTGCACCCGCTCCCCTTCACCCTCCCCACCATCCACTCTCTTGAAGACCCTCTCCCACTCGTCCCTCGCTCCCTCGCCTCCTTAACCACGACTGCACCTGCAGCCGCTGCAGCAGCTGCTGCTGCTGCGCCATCTGCTCGCACTCTCTTTCCCTCGGTGCACCCCTTCAGCAGCACCACCCTGGGAGGGCACCACGTGCCTTCCCTGCCCACCACTGTGCCAGCGCCCTTCCCATCGCCTGCCACCTCATCACCTGCCATCCCGTTCCGCTTCCTCACGCCTCCCCTGACGCCCTCGTCACCTCCCCTCACCGTCACACCCAGAGGAGCCATCAGCGCCGGTGCTGCCAGCAGCAGCAGCAGCGGCAGTGCAGGAGCAGCAGGGCCCTTTGCCCGGTCAAGAGGGCTCAGGGGGTCAACAGGGTCAAAGGGGTCAACGGGGTCAAAGGGGTTGACAGACCCTTTCACTTTCCCCCCGCCCTCTGCAGCGCCCCAAAGTGAGGCCGCACGGGGCAGCATGCTTCATGCCGGCTCCAAGCGAAGCCTTTCCTCCTCCACCCTCCCCTCCATCACTCTCCCAACCATCCCTCCCTTTTCATCATCCATCGCGGTCCATCAACAAACCTTCCTGCCCTTGTCCGCGCCGCCGCCTCCCTTCGCCGCGACGTCCTCCCTCCTCCCCTTCCTGCCTGACGCCTCCACCACGGACACCCTGCGCTGCCTGGGGTGTGGAATCGAACTAGACCAGGAAAATGCAAGGGAGGCTCTGGCTTTACCCGATGGGGTGGGGCCGCCCTTGCCTCGGGGCTCGGAAATGCTAGTGGGGCGCATTCCACGTGTGCACGGGTGCAATGAGTGCCTGCCGTTGCTCGTGCCCAGTTACTTCAAGAGACGGGCAGCTGCGAAGAAGCACACTCCTAACAAGTCCACGTGAATTGGAATGTGAAGATTGTATTCTCAATTGTTTTGTTGTAAGAGCTGGCCAAAGAGGTGTACTTTGCCTTAATTATATCTCGAAACTTCATGTGAACATTTTCACGATGCAGAGCCACTCTGCCACGCACAGTTTCGGGCTTCACCGCATTCATGAAACGCCCTCAGGGGATGTCCAGCTCGTACATTTACTGTTTGTAAACCCGCTCAGTTACCACATTTTTTGTTGTAACACTGTATTGAACGTGTCCTTCGGACACAACGCCCCCTGCACGTACCTCGAATCGTCTGACTCACGTTACTGGAATCAGCGGGGACGCGAACAAGGGTACAGCACCGCGTCCTGGCCACTACAGTGGTCCCCCCTGAATCGCTTGCACAATTTCGCCAGTAGCTCGCTACAATCGCCAACACCCCCCCCGCCTGCCCAAAAATTCGTTAGCTATGATTGACGAGGGAAACTGTTACCTCGTTTCGAAAGCGATCAGAGCACTGTTGATTCGTGTGGCGGGGAACGTGTCCACGCTCCTGAAATTAGAGGTAGGTTGGACTCAACTCACAATGCATTCGTTTTTAGGTACAGTGATTATATTTGAGCCTCGAGACGTGTGTTGGCACTAAAAAACCCGAAATGAACGAACTGGACACGCCCTCAGAACAGAACATTTTCCAGCGCTTCACATATTCTCTTGCCGCCTTCATTGTTGAAATACTTGTAAAAAAGAGTAGCTGTGACTACTGGAGGGCTGGAAACTTGGCTGGAAAGTCTTAGCAGGGCTGCTGGAATTGACTGGATGAGGTAAAACTTCACTATGTTCAAGATTAACAAGCCCACTAAAGCACAACTCTAGGCATCACAAACAAGACAGATTGAAAGCTCAAACTAGGCTGATAGACAATGTTACTTCCCTGGTAACTTGGGCACAATCTAGATTGGATGGACCTTGAGTGACTTTGAGTGCCACATGAGGTGCATGAATAAGAAAACTCTGGATATTTCTGTTATAGCTGATTCTGATGTGTAGAAATCTGTAGAAACTGCCAACACTTCGGTTTGAAGGCAGCTTTGAACTATATCGAGTCTTCGGCTGAAATCTGATTGGTGGTGGAACTTTCGAAGTACTTCCCGAAGCTCTGATTCATCGCCGACATTCCCCCTTGCTGCTGCTTGTGTGCGAAGGGCTGGGGCGGCAGAAACTCGATTCTCCAACAGAACTGACACTCTCCGTTCGGTGGAACTCGACCAAGCGATTTTGACGTTCCTTGGGATCATAGGCACGGATTCGTTCTTCCGGAGCGGCTGCTCGCTTTCCACGCAACTCAGCAGTCTATCCCGCTTCTTCCGCATGCCTGCTCCGATAGGCTGAAATTTCTCGAAAGTTCCGCGGGTGTTGGTTTGCTGTCATCTCCTGCGGGCTTTAAGAGCGCGATCTGCACGAGAAATATCACCGTCTCGTCGCCTTTTGTTCGAAATGCCTGGCAATGCGGCCGCGGAGGAACTGGAGCATGGTCGCGGGGAACCTTCCCCGCACAAGCGGAAGCGGGGAGGTGCGAAGGAGGTGGATGTTGACTGCAGCGGACTGGCGAGTATAGACTCAGGGAATGCCGAGGGCGAGAGCGTTGCGGGCTTTTTTGTTAGTAGCGCCAGGCAGATCTGGTATCCGACACAGTGCGCGACGAAACGGATGCGAGGCGCGGCGGAATCACGCACGATGATGGCGGAGGGCGGGGCAGAGGGAGGGGCGCAGAGGGGGCAAGGGGACGCGGGGAAAGAAGGGCATGGATGCGAGGCGCAGGGAAAGGAGGCAGAGGCAGCGACGGAAAGGCAGGCGAGGGGGGGATTGGCGGAGAGCGAGGAAAGTGCGCGAGGGGATGGTGGCGCGCGGGATGGCTGTGGCGCGCGTGATACATTCAGGGGAGGCGGAGAAATCAAGAGGGCGAGGGAGGAGGTGAAGCAAGAGATGGTGGAGGAGGCGATGCAACGCGGCGGGTGTGAGGGCGCTCAAGCATTTGTGCGCATACCCCCGTGCCTTTATGCGCCACCACCGTTTCATCCTGCGCCCTGTCAGGCCCCACCGCACCTCCGTGACTCTCCGCCCGTCCATGCCTCTCCGCCCGTCCATGCGTCTCCGCCCGTCCATGCCTCTCCGCCCGTCCATGCCTCTCCGCCCGTCCATGCCTCTCCGCCCGTCCATGCCTCTCCGCCCGTCCATGTCTCCCCGCCCGTCCATGTCTCCCCGCCCGTCCATGTCTCCCCGCCCGTCCATGGCAGCGTGCGCAGGTCCGTCACAGCCGGTCTCTGTGAGCCGCTGCTTCCAGCACCGCCCATGGCACCAGCGCCACTCGCGCCATTAGCAGCGTCAGCAGCTGCTGGCCCCCACACTGCACCATCAGCAACACCGGCAGCAGCACCATCAGCAGCAGCAACCATAGCACCAGCGCCAGCAACAGCACCAGCACCAGTTGAAGCACCATTGGCAGCAGCGCCACCATCAGCAGCTTCAGCAATAGCAACAGCAGAAGTATTAACATCAGCACCACCAGCGACAGGAGCAGCACCATCAGCAGGAGCAGCAACAGCACCGGCAGCAGCAGAAGCACCAGCAGCAGCAGAAGCACCAGCAGCAGCAACAGCACCAGCAGCAGCAACAGCACCAGCAGCAGCAGAAGCACCAGCAGCAGCAACAGCACCAGTAGCAGCAACAGCACCAGCAGCAGCAGAAGCACCAGCAGCAGCAACAGCACCGGCAGCAGCAGAAGCACCAGCAGCAGCAGAAGCACCAGCAGCAGCAACAGCACCAGCAGCAGCAGAAGCACCAGCAGCAGCAACAGCACCGGCAGCAGCAGAAGCACCAGCAGCAGCAGAAGCACCAGCAGCAGCAACAGCACCAGCAGCAGCAACAGCACCAGCAGCAGCAGAAGCACCAGCAGCAGCAACAGCACCAGTAGCAGCAACAGCACCAGCAGCAGCAGAAGCACCAGCAGCAGCAACAGCACCAGCAGCAGCAGAAGCACCAGCAGCAGCAACAGCACCAGCAGCAGCAGAAGCACCAGCAGCAGCAACAGCACCAGTAGCAGCAACAGCACCAGCAGCAGCAGAAGCACCAGCAGCAGCAACAGCACCAGCAGCAGCAACAGCACCAGCAGCAGCAGAAGCACCAGCAGCAGCAACAGCACCAGTAGCAGCAACAGCACCAGCAGCAGCAGAAGCACCAGCAGCAGCAACAGCACCAGCAGCAGCAGAAGCACCAGCAGCAGCAACAGCACCAGCAGCAGCAGAAGCACCAGCAGCAGCAACAGCACCAGTAGCAGCAACAGCACCGGCAGCAGCAGAAGCACCAGCAGCAGCAACAGCACCAGCAGCAGCAACAGCACCAGCAGCAGCAGAAGCACCAGCAGCAGCAACAGCACCAGCAGCAGCAACAGCACCAGCAGCAGCAGAAGCACCAGCAGCAGCAACAGCACCAGTAGCAGCAACAGCACCAGCAGCAGCAGAAGCACCAGCAGCAGCAACAGCACCAGCAGCAGCAGAAGCACCAGCAGCAGCAACAGCACCAGCAGCAGCAGAAGCACCAGCAGCAGCAACAGCACCAGTAGCAGCAACAGCACCAGCAGCAGCAGAAGCACCAGCAGCAGCAACAGCACCAGCAGCAGCAGAAGCACCAGCAGCAGCAACAGCACCAGCAGCAGCACCTGCAGCAGCAGAAGCACCAGCAGCAGCAACAGCAACAGCAGAAACGTCAACATCAGCACCACCAGCAAGAGCAACAGCAACAGCAGAAGGACCAGCATCATCACCAGAAACGGCAGCAGCAACAGCACCAGCCGAAACATCATTAATAGCAGCACCACCAGCAACAGCACCAGCACCCGCACCCGCACCGGCACCAGATGATAAGGCAAGCAGCGGTGAGAGGCGTGAGGAAGCGAGGTGCAGAGGAGCAGAGGAGGCAGGGGCGGGGAGCGAGCAGGGCGGTGACATGGGGCGAGGGGATGAGGGGCTGGGAAGCGCGCGACCAGGGTCACCTGGGGATGGCAGCCATGGCATGGCACAGGGGCAGAGGCGAGGAGGGAGCGAGGCAAGGGGCAGTGGCGAGTGCGAGGGAGGGAAAGCTCGAGGGTGGTTGGCACAAATGCTGCAGGGAGGGGAGAATGAGGGGGGGCATGAGGGGGAGAAGGTGATATGGGGGGAGCAAACGTCAGGAGAGCAGGTATCAGGTGCGAAGGCATGTGAGGAAATGCTGCAGCGAGGCAGTGAGAGATGGGAGGAGGGGAGGCAGGAGATGAGGCAGGGGAGCAGCGCCAGTGGTGGTGGTGGGGGATGGGGAGCAGATGGGGTAATGAGCACTCCGCCTCCTCACAACCACATGCCGTGCTCACCTGACGGCCCTGTGCCGTGCCCACCTGGGAATCCCATGGCATGCCCTGCTCACGACCCTGTGCCAAGCGCAGAAGCGACAGTACCGTGCACTGACAAGGCCTCAACACTGCCCATGGCACCTGAGAGCCGACCTGAGAGCCGCCGTGAGAGCTGCCCTGAGCATTTCTCTGAGCGTCGCTCTGAAGATGGCTCTGCTGTGCCTCGGGAACAGCAGGCTGAACGTGGCAGCAATACCCCTGGCTGCCCCCAACTGGGACTGGTTGCAGAGGCAGAGAGACCAGGCAGTGACCCGTCTCCCTTTCATGCTGCCACTGCTCATGCGAATCATGCAGGTGCTGCTGCTGATGCAGACCCGCCCGCGCCGTCCCCCACCAGCACTCCACCGCCCCGTCAGCAGGAGGGTCCACGTCAGCAACAGCCTAGTTGCGACGCATCAGCACAAGCAGATCCAGGCAATGCCACGGTCACAACAGAGGAAGCAAGGGATGAAGAGGTTGCTGCTGTTCCATACCATGTGCTTGCCGCTCGTGTGTTTGCGGAGTTGCGGGGCTTGTTGCTCGATACCCACGTGGCTCATGAGGACTTGGAAGCAGTTGTGAATGAGGCGGTGATGACGTGGCATCCTGACGTGCAGGCAATGGCGCGAGAGAACGCGTGGGATGCGGCGAAGGGGACAGTTGCAAGGGTGGAAGGGAAGATTGGCACTTCAATTTTGGCTTTGCGGAAGAAGCTAAAGGTATCCATTGAGGATTTGGATAAAAGGCTTGAAAAAGAGGAGGAAGAAAGAAACGGCTAGGGAATTCGAGGTGGAATGTTTTATGATTATTGGAAGTAGATACGCAAGTTCTGTACCTAACCCAACCATCTATTTTCGCAACTTAAGACTTCACCACTGTCTCGGATCACTGCCTTGCGAGTTCTTCCTTCACATATTTTTCGTCTTCACTCTTATTTCAAGTGATTCGTGCTCCCGCATCGTCAATTCTGCTCGATTCCGCTCGTCAGTATCATCCGCATTCGTACACTGCCACTAAATATTAGTCTCTCGCGTAGTCTATCAAGGCTCTTAAAGCCGTGTTGATCGCCATGGAGGAGGAGGCGATAGAGCGAGCCGTGCTGGCGTACCTGCGTCGCAAGGGCTACAAGAATGCTGAGCTGGCGTTTAAAGACGACTCTAAGACGCAATCGCTCGATGCGCTCGTTACGGTTGGCGGGAAGGCGGCAGCTGCTGAGCTGGACAAGAATTTAGCCAATCAGATAATGCTCTACAGCAGGTGGGAAGCCACAGCGGACCCTAACCCTAACCGCGACATTTTTCGAACCGTTGTTTTCGTTAACGTCGATAACTGTGTAGTGTCGCCCATACAGTATCTCCAATGTCATGGATTTGACTGGTTGCAGAAGCGCCACGTGTCTCTCTCGGGATTGTCTCTTCCAGGTCTGAGAAAGCGCCAGCATGCTATGTGGATGGCTACCGGAAGCTTCGTGCGTGGGTGCATTCCTCCCTAGACCTCTACAAGGTAATTCCCGACAGACCCCTCGCCTCGCGTCGCATCGCGTCGCGTCGCCGTGTCGCATCCACTCCTCCGGGAAATACTTCTTTCAATCCCCCTCCCATTCCCTCATTCGCCCCTCCTCATCTGAGGCTTCCCTAATATCTCTCCCCCGCCCTCTCCCGTCCTTCCAGAACGAGTTGCTGCGCGTGCTGTACCCGGTCTTTGTGCACGCCCCTTTAGCGCTCCCCAATATCATTCACTCTATCCTTTCCCCCCCACGATCCCATTCCCCCCAGAACGAGCTACTGCGAGTGCTGTATCCGGTGTTCGTGCACGCCCCTTTGGGGCTCCCTAATATCCTTCCACTCCATCTTCCCCCCCTCCCCCTCCTCCCGCGCGTCAGAACGAGCTACTGCGAGTGCTCTATCCGGTGTTCGTGCACGCCTTCCTCGAGCTCGTCGCGCAGGACCACCCCGACGCGGCGCGCGCGCTCATGGAGGCGCACGGCGCGGACCACGCGCGCCTGCACGCCAGTGACCTCGCGCAGCTCGCGGGCATCACCGCCGCGCAGCACGCGCAGGAGAGCCCCCTCGCGCGCGCCTTCCGCGAGAACAAAGCCGTCATCCGCATGTGCCAGGTAGGCCCCCCCTGGCCAAGCGCATGTGTCGTGTCTGCTCTCTCCTCGTTCCGTGATTATCCAGCTCACTTGCTCCACCTTGCTGTGCTCCACCTTGCTGTGCTCGCACCTCTCTCTTCACACGCCCTCCCATACTGCATGCCATGCTCCTGCGACCCCACCCCACTCCACCCTATCCCACCCCACCCCACCCCACCCCACCCCACGCCACGGCACGCCATGACATGACACGACACGACACGGAGGGCAGTACTCATTCGACCTGCTGTTGCAGTTCCTGCACGCAGCGGACCTCATGGCCATCCTCGCGCTCGTCAACTGCCACATCCACATCATTGGTGGGTCGCTGTGTCGCACGCACTCGCATCAACACCAATTCTCTCTAGCTTGCATCCATGGGCGCTCGCTTCTTCCCAGTGCAGCTCCGCACCATTGATGTTCCACGCGCGCAATTGCTGCACCCAAGCACGCAATTGCTGCACCCAAGCACGCAATTGCTGCACCCAAGCTCGCAATTGCTGCACCCAAGCACGCAATTGCTGCACCCAAGCACGCAATTGCTGCACCCAAGCACGCAATTGCTGCACCCAAGCACGCAATTGCTGCACCCAAGCACGCAATTGCTGCACCCAAGCACGCAATTGCTGCACCCAAGCACGCACCACCCCCTTCCCAACCATTCTCCCTCTCCAGCTCCCGTGCCCTTTTCCTCCTCCTCCTCCTCCTCCTCCTCCTCCTCCTCCTCCTCCTCCTCCTCCTCCTCCTCCTCCTCCTCCTCCTCCTCCTCCTCCTCTTCACACCCCCCCACTCCCTTCAAACTCTCCCTCTCCAGCTCCTGTGCCCTTTTCCTCCTCCTCCTCTTCTTCTTCACCCCCTTCCCTCTCTTCAAACTCTCCCTCTCTCCGCCCCCATCCGCCCGCGCCCCCGCCACAGTGCATGCGGGGCGGCCAGCAGCGCAGGAGGAGGAGGAGTACGAGGCGACGGGCATGGTATCAAGCGCGGGAGCGGACGGAGGGGGCGCGGGGGGCGGCATGCTGGCGGGGGTGGTGACAGGGGCGACACACGAGGCGATGAAGCGCATGGGGCAGCGCGAGGTGCTGTGGGGCGCGCTGGAGGATGGTGTGGAGCACCGGTTGGAGCAGGAGAGGGAGCGGGAGGGTGAGAAGGAGGAGGGCGACGAGGGCGAAGGGGACGACGGCAAGGTGAGATGCGTGTGGGTGGTGTTAGCAACGGTTGGCCCAGCTTGAAACGCTCCTTGTGATTCCATCCCTCCATTTCTGACCGCACGATCTCTCCTCCGCGACCTCCTTGCCCGCTGCCTCCTTTCCCTCTGCCTCCTTGCCCTCTGCCTCCTTGCCCTCTGCCTCCCTGCGTGCTGCCCCTCTTCCCTCAGAAGCGGGCAGCAGATGGCAAGGCAGCAGCAGGGGCGCCGGGCAAGAAGGGCAAGAAGGACAAGGCGGGGGAGAAGGACGCGCTCAAAGGGGGCGCGGGGGGTGGAGCAGGAGGGGCAGCGGGGGCAGGGGGGGGTGCTGGAGGAAAGGGGGGGAAGGCGGGCGAGGGCAAGGGGGCCGGCGGGGCTGCTGCAATGACTGGCACACGCGTGGCGTCGCACCTGCCTCTCCCTAAAATGTGCGCTCTCCCTCCCTCTGCTCTGTCCCCCGCTGATCTCCCTTCTGCTGCTCTGCCTGCTGTCATCTATCCTTGCCTGGCCACGTCCCGCTGCTGCCTTCCTGTGGTTCAAGCTGATTCATGGCACAGCAGTTTCTTCAAACATTGCTACCCCTTTCGTTCATCTTCCTTCTTTTCCTGCCTCTCGCCTCCCTGCCTCTGGCCTTTCTGCCTCCTCCTGCCTCTCTGCCTCTTGACTCTCTGCCACTCGACCTGCCTCCGCTCTGCTGCTGCCTGTGACCATGCAAGGCAGGAGGGAGGAGGCGGAGAAGCAGGTGTTTGACGACTTGAGGCGGCGAGTGGCACTGGGAGCGCAGGCGCTGCCGTCTGTGTGCTGCTACACGCTGCTGCATGCACACTCCAGGTGCGCTCTGCTCTGCTCTACTCTGCTGTGCTGGCCTGTTATGCGCTGCTGCTGCTGCTGCTGCTGCTGCTGCTGCTGCTGCTGCTGCTGCTGCTGCTGCTGCTGCTGCTGCTGCTGCTGCTGCTGCTGCTGCTGCTGCTGCTGCTGCTGCTACTGCTGCTGCGAGTGCATTCTGGGAACCACCGAGTTCCGCTGCCGCACTGCCTCTGCACTGCACAGCTGCCACCTGTGTACTTCTGAGGCGCCTTAAAAGTAGGCTGCCACCTGTCTTCCGTTGCTTCTCTCACTCCTCCCTCTCACCTCGCATCCCACACACCCTCCAATTCGTCCTGCATGCGCCCCCTCTATCTCTCCTCCCCGCACCAGCATGACTTCAGTGTCCGTTGCTCCTGACGGTGCGTTGCTGGCTGCAGGCTTCAATGACTCGTCAGTCAAGGTGACAGCCGTGCATCCACATTCATCTACTCAAACGCCAAGTTTAACCAATACGCGCACAGCAGATTCAATCCAGTTGTGCGTAGTAGTGACACTGATCTATGATGGCCAGGCATGGCAGCATGTATGTTAGCGTCGTCTGCTGCGCGTCCCCACTATGACACACTCTCTCACCACTCTCTTCTCCCCGCCTCCTCTTCCCTTCTCTTCCTCGCTCTCCCCCTCTCGTCCCTTCATTTCCCCTCCGTCGCTCCTCCCCCACCACACAGGTGTGGGACATGCGATCCATTGGCTCCTCCCCCCTGCCACAAGGTATGCCTTTCCACTGCCTCTTCTCGACTCTCGTTCCACATTTCACATTTTCCATCTGCCATGTCTCTGTCCTCTCGCGTCCCCTTCGCCATTCCTCACCTCTCACATCACCTCTCACATCACCTCTCACATCACCTCTCACATCACCTCTGCATCTTCCTCTGCATCATCAACCCTCATGTATCGCACTCCCCCCTTTTCTCCCCTTTCTCTCTCTCCCCTCTCTTCACCCTCCTCCCCCAGACGCCCTATCGCTCGACACCTCAGCAGCAGCCGAAGCCCCAGCCATACAAAATACCCCACGTGGACACCCCACAACCACCACCACCACCTTTACCCCCACCACCCCCAGCACCACCAGCAAACGTTACATAGCCCTGAGGGGCCACAGCGGCGCCGTGCACGCAACCTCCTTCAGCCCCTCAGACGACCGCTTCCTGCTCTCCGCCTCTTCTGACGCCTCAGTGCGCCTGTGGCACCTGGGGCTGGGGGCGTGCCTGGTGGCGTACCGCGCGCACTGCTACCCCGTGTGGGACGTGCAGCACTCGCCTGTGGGGCACTACTTTGCCACGGCGTCGTATGACCGCACGGCGCGCGTGTGGAGCATGGAGCGATCCTACCCGCTCCGCATCATGGCGGGCCACCTCTCCGACGTGCATGTCAGTCCCTTCCTTTCTAAGGTTGTTTTTCTCTTGTGGTTTGGTGGAAGATTTAATCTGTCATCCTTGTGCTGAAAGCTTCCTCCCCTGGGACCGCACGGCACGCGTGTGGAGCATGGAGCGCTCGTACCCGCTGCGCATCATGGCTGGTCATCTCTCCGACATGCATGTCAGTGGCTCCCTCTTTCGCACATCCCTGATGCGCGCTGCCACGCCAGCTGCAAATACGTTCTCACCGGGTTCACTGACAACCCAAGCCCTCCACCCAGCCTCTCTTCCTCACACCTCTCTCTTCCTCTCTTCCCACCCCCTCCCCCGCTCTTCGCAGGCGGTGCAGTGGCACGCCAACTGCAACTACATCGCCACGTGCTCCAGCGACAAGACGCTGCGCCTGTGGGACGTGCAGACCGGCGAGTGCTGCCGAGTCTTTGCCGCCCACCGCTCGCCCGTGTACGCACTCGCCACGTCCCCGGACGGCCGCTTTCTAGCCTCGGGGGATGAGGGAGGTGCCGTGCTGCTGTGGGACCTGGGCACAGGCCGCTGCATCGCCCCCCTGCTGGGCCACACCGGCTGTGTGTGGACGCTCGCTTTCAGGTGGGTGTGATGTGGTGCAGTGCGGTGCGTGCTGTATTCTCCCCTCTCTGTGCGCCCTAGCACAATCTTCCTGGCGTCGGGCGATGAGACCGGCACTGTGCTGCTGTGGGACCTGGGCACGGGACGATGCATTGCACCTCTTCTGGGCCACACTGGCTGTGTGTGGACGCTCGCCTTCAGGTGGGTGCAGTGTGGTTCAGTGCAGTGTGGTTCAGTGCTCCCATGCTGTATGTGCTGTAGCAATGTCGTTTCCGCTTCACAAGTCGAGATTCTGCCTGCTGTGACCCTCACAAGCTGCCAGCTCAAACCAGCACCAGCTACCTGTTCGTTATTATCACCAACTCAACCTCCACCCTGCCTCCCATGCATCTCCTCCCCCGTGCGCCATGCTGCCTGTGGGGCGAGCAGTGGCGAGTCAGCAGTGCTGGCATCGGGGGCAGCGGACGACACAGTGAGGCTGCTGCTTCAATCTCCCCCCCACCTCCCTCCCATGCATCCCCCCCACCTCCCTCCCATGCATCCCCCCCACCTCCCTCCCATGCATCTCTCCCCTCTCGTGCACCCTCCTGGCCTTGCGGAGCAGTGGCGAGTCAGCAGTGCTGGCATCGGGGGCAGCGGACGACACAGTGAGGCTGTGGGATGTTGCTGCTGCCAGCAAGCTCGCTCCCAACGAGGCCAAGTGAGTGGCAATTGTTCAGCTGCCATGTGAGTGGCAATTGTTCAGCTGCCATGTGAGTGGCAATTGTTCAGCTGCCATGTGAGTGGCAATTGTTCAGCTGCCATGTGAGTGGCAATTGTTCAGCTGCCATGTGAGTGGCAGGGATGGGATGTCAGTGGGGGGGTGGGGCCATGCCATGCGACCATGAGTTTTCAGCTGCATGTGAGTGCCAATTCTTCAGGAAGCCAAACTGGTCTAATTTGAGTCTGTTTTTGCGTCGACACAGGAGCGAGTACTGATGCTCTACTTGTCTCCATCACTGCCTACCCGACCCTGTCTGCCGTTGTCCCTCTCTGCTGTATTCCCCCTCTGAGGGCCTCCACATTTGTTCAACCGCTCTGTCTTGCCTTTCCCCTTCCTCCGGGGGCTTCCTCTCCTGTGTGTCGCCTTCCTCCCTTCCCCCCGCGCCTGTCCATGCATGGGCATCAGAACATCGGTGGGGCGGCGGTTGCGCCTTCTCAAGACCTTCCCCACCAAGTCAACACCCATCTCCGCCCTGCAGGTAGTATCCATCCCCCACTCACTGCCCGTATCCGCTCTGCGGGCGTCCATCCCCCACTCATGGCCCATCGCTCCTTGAGCCACCTCAAACTGGGGTTTGCCTCTGTCTGCCTCCAGTCATTTGCACAACACCTGTGTCATGCCCGTGTTTACAAGTGTCTAGTCCCCCTTAGCAACTCCCCTGGCAATCCCCCAAGGCCCCCTCACAACCCCCCTTACATTTGCCTAGTGCATCCGTCCAACTCGCCCTGCAATTCCCCATCTGCCCCCCCTCGACTTCTTCCTCCCCTTCCTCGCTTCCTCCACACCCCTCTCGGCAGTTCACGCGGCGCAACCTGCTTGTGGCAGCTGGGGCTTTCAAACACTCCGACCCCACACCTTGATGCTGCATGTCACACGTCACCGCTTTCGTGCCACATGTCATGCCAGCTTGGGTGCCCAGGGCAAGGCATTGCATGCAAATTTTGCATGCTTAGGTGTTGAATGCATCATCAGCATTTGTAACACTACACACCTCAGTTGCATTCAATAGCTAGCATTGTCACTAGTTACAGTAAGAGCGTGTTCCTACGGCCTCATATCAGGAAACCTCGTATCAAGAATGCTGTTTTTGCCTGGTAAAACTAGCGAGAGGTTTTGGGTTTAGGGAATTTTCAGTGTGAGCCTGATACGAGGTTATCTTGATACGAGGATAGGAACATGCTCTAATGGCTGCTGTGATTCACAAAAATTTGATGGACTAGTGCAACTACCAGCAAGCACAGAATGGTCACCACAAGGAGACTCAAATCACAATCGAGATCCTACAATTACGGTAGCGAGATCACAAGAGCAGCTAATAGTGGGTATCTGGTATTCAACAGTATAGACAGCACACACACTGACGCCATTATTGACACGCATACGTGCTGCCTTAGCTAGGCACGAATGTACACCATGACTCCTAACGGGCCAGGAAGAAAAAAAGAACGAAAAAAAAAAGAAAATCAAAATATACGATACGGACTTCTCAGCTGGCCCACGGGTTCGACATCACCACTCCCCGGTGCGAGCCTGCTACTGCATGCGGCTGGGCGCCGCCAATCCCGCCGCCTTGCGCCACCATGGCTGCGCGCGCCTGCATCAACCCCGCGGGGTGCATCGCCTGCTCCACTCCTCCCCACGCCTCCACTCCCCCCCATCCGTCCCCCCCATCCACATCCATCGAGCAGTCGTTAATAGCTCCTCCCCGCCGCGCGCCTCCCGCCTGCGTCCTCTGAAGCCCCGCGGCAATATCCCCAGAGACCGTCCCCGCCTGCCAAGGGTTCGTGACAAAAACGTTCCGCGGTTGGCGCGATGTTTGCGCAGCGGCTGTCCCCCGGCGCTCCGCGCGGGTGCTGCAGACCTCATCCTCGCTGTCGGATCCCGCGCCCCCCGCGCCGTTCGCGGCGTGCAGCGCTTGGCTGCGCGCATCCACGCTACTCGCGTCGTTGACCGCGTTAAAAGCAGCAGCAGACCGGTCGGATTTGCGCGCCGAGCGGATGCAGTCAAGCGACCGGCGGCGGCGGGAAGGGTCGTTGTGCGGCGCGTAGAGACACGCCCAGTCCGTCGGCCCCAACGCCGCGCTTGCCGCCGCCGCTGACGCTGGTGCTGGAGACGGCGCTGTTGTTTGGTTACGTACAGCCGAAGCAGAATGGTCGAAACCCGCTTCGGGCTGTGGTTGCATGACAGGCTCTCCGCTCGGTCGTCCAAACACATCCCGACCGTTGAAGGCGCTGTTACGGTGCATTGGACGCTCAAGATCGTCGATTTGGAGGGACATGCGGCGCGTGGAGGGGATGGGGGACTCGACCGCGGTGGACATGGGGGAGCGGGAGGGGCACTGGGAGTGCGCGGACGGCGGAGTGGCGGAGACCTCCATTGCGACCATGGCGGAGTGCAGCTCCAGGCGCTGGCGGTGAGATCCGCCGTTCAGCATGCGCTGGAACATTCTCGGAAGCTCTCCTTAGTCCACCGGCTTCGATTTGTCGAAAATGACCCTCCGATAGCTAGGCTGACTAAAACGACAAGTCGAAGTCTGTTAACAACTAAAAACCGCACGGAATTTGCGCGAGTGTTCTGCTGAGGGATAAGGATAAACGATACCGCCAATTGCGTCCCTCTAACCCCAAGCGAAGCTTGACGGAATGCCCTAAGAAACAGGAGCGTCGAAACAAAAACCTTGCTCAGAAAACTGGGGCTTGAAGGAGATGAGTTGCCAGGAGGAAAGATTAGGATGGAAGTGAAGGCAGAATGGGGAGGGGAGGGGAAGCGCGCGCGCAGTGTGAGATAGTCCGCGCTTGTAACCCAATAGAGCTGAGTTGTGGCCCCGCCCACACAGCACTGCGATGTACGCCGCTTCCTTCATTGGTTCCCCTTTTGCCCCCGTGACTATCCAACAGTCCTCCCTTCTCTCCCCTCCGCAACCACTTCCCAAAAAAACTGCTTCCAGTCTTGTCGGGACTCGGTTTTCCTCGGCTGTGCTGTCCGCCTTCCCCCAAGCATCGCCTAGCAGTTGGTGCGCCACAGTCACTGCTGCGCCCTGCCAAGTGCGGTGGTGAACTCGATCGCAGTCACAATTTGTGGGGTAGAGCCAGCTAGCGCAGGGGGACTTGAGTGGCAGTACAGGTCAGGTTGGGCAGGTGAAAGAATTGACCTTGAGGGGATGAGATAGGTGAAGGTAACCATTTCTTTACACGGCCTCGCTGCGTAATGAGGTAGTCATATCCACTCCCAAGTTGAGCACGTGCGAAGCCCCCTTCTGGGGGGCTGGCGATGGGCTGGGATAGGAGAAAACTCATCCAGGACGTTACAGTTCGCACTGTTACGATATTTGAAATGGGCATTGGAGGTTTGCGTACCCCCGCATGTGTGTTGCATTGCAGCATGTCGCCATCCAGCCCTATAGCATGAAAATATTTGGGATGCCCTACTTGGTTCAACTACGGGCAGCTTGGGATGGGAAACATAATCAAATGGTCTTGCCCAATCACGGCTTTGCAGCAAGTCCGACTGTCATTGTGTGGTGGTATGGCGTGGGTGGGATGGAATCTCCCGCTGCTGCTGCTACTGCTGTAAAAGTCGTTTGTGAAAATCTGGAACGAGGCTCCAATAGAACGTCGAAAAATGGACTGGTTTCTCAAAACTCCATTGGCCGAGTATCCATCCAGCTGTCGGTCATCGAATCCTGCGGCGTTATTACATTCAGCTCGGTGTTTTTCTGCCATGCCATTCGCAATCGCAAGCCCCGTTTCTCCTCACTTATGTGTCCCATGTATGACTTCACTACAAACTGCACTTGACTGATCTTACTGAGTATATTCAGTTGTTGCAAAAAGTTGTCAGCCAGATAAAATGTATTAATGATTTATGTTAAGGCTTTAACTATTAAATGTAGTACCGCTCTCATGGTCTTCCTCTTGAAAGAATGTTCAATTCCAGCAGCTGATGTACTTATGTTGCCCTTATGAACAAGCCTACAGTCGGGAACAATTAAAAAAACTTATTTTGTTGCAACTTTGATGGGCGCGGTTACCATTTTGCAATCCTCGCTATGCACTCGCATAACTCCCTACATTTTCTGGTCACGGAATCCCGTTTCCTGCCAGCTATTGAGCACCACCATTTCTTACGCTGCTCTGACACGCCGCCTGCTGCCTGCATCCGAATTCCATGGCGGCTGCGGCTCCGCCTGCTGCGGAGCGAGCTACGGCATCTCGAGCGGCCGAGTGGCCCGAGTTATCCGCTGTTGAAGGGCTCAAAAGCAATCTGCGTCTTCTTTCCACTGACCAGGTACCGTCCGCCCAGGTACCTAGCCTGTGCAAAATAGCAAGATCAAGGGCCTAGTGTGTGCAAAATTGCAAGAACAAGGGCCTAGCGTGTGCAAAATTTCAAGAAAAATTGCCTAGCGTGTGCAAAATTGCAAGAACAAGAGCCTAGCGTGTGCAAAATTTCAAGAACAAGGGCCTAGCGTGTGCAAAATAGCAGGAACAAGGACCTAGTGTGGCAAAATTGCAAGAACAAGGGCCTAGCGTGTGCAAAATTGCAAGAACAAGGGCCTAGCGTGTGCAAAATAGCAAGAACAAGGGCCTAGCGTGTGCAAAATTGCAAGAACAAGGGCCTAGCGTGTGCAAAATTGCAAGAACAAGGGCCTAGCGTGTGCAAAATTTCAAGAACAAGGGCCTAGCGTGTGCAAAATTTCAAGAACAAGGGCCTAGCATGTGCAAAATAGCACGAACGAGGGCCTAGAGTGTGCAAAATTGCAAGAACAAGGGCCTAGCGTGTGCAAAATTTCAAGAACAAGGGCCTAGCATGTGCGAAATAGCAAGAACAAGGGCCTAGCATGCGCAAAATTGCAAGAACAAGGGCCTAGCGAGTGCAAAATAGCAAGAACAAGGGCCTAGCATGTGCAAAATAGCAAGAACAAGGGCCTAGCGTGTGCAAAAGTGCAAGAACAAGGGCCTAGCGTGTGCAAAATTGCAAGAACAAAGGCCTAGCGAGTGCAAAATTTCAAGACAAAGGGCCTAGCGTGTGCAAAATTGCAAGAACAAGGACCTAGCCTGTGCAAAATTTCGAGAACAAAGGCCTAGCGTGTGCAAAATAGCAGGAACAAGGGCCTAGCGTGTGCAAAATTGCAAGAACAAGGGCCTAGCGTGTGCAAAATTGCAAGAACAAGGACCTAGCCTGTGCAAATTTTCGAGAACAAGGACCTAGCGTGTGCAAAATAGCAAGATCAAGGGCCTAGCGTGTGCAAAATTGCAAGAACAAGGGCCTAGCGTGTGCAAAATTACAAGAACAAGGGCCTAGCGTGTGCAAAATTTCAAGAACAAGGGCCTAGCCTGTGCAAAATAGCAAGAACAAGGGCCTAGCGTGTGCAAAATTGCAAGAACAAGGGCCTAGCGTGTGCAAAAGTGCAAGAACAAGGGCCTAGCGTGTGCAAAATTTCAAGAACAAGGGCCTAGCGTGTGCAAAATAGCAAGAACAAGGGCCTAGCGTGCGCAAAATTGCAAGAACAAGGGCCTAGCGAGTGCAAAATAGCAAGAACAAGGGCCTAGCATGTGCAAAATAGCAAGAACAAGGGCCTAGCGTGTGCAAAAGTGCAAGAACAAGGGCCTAGCGTGTGCAAAATAGCAAGAACAAGGGCCTAGCGTGTGCAAAATTTCAAGAACAAGGGCCTAGCGTGTGCAACATTTCAAGAACAAGGACCTAGCCTGTGCAAAATTTCAAGAACAAGGGCCTAGCGTGTGCAAAATTGCAAGAACAAGGGCCTAGCGTGTGCAAAAGTGCAAGAACAAGGGCCTAGCGTGTGCAAAATTTCAAGAACAAGGGCCTAGCGTGTGCAAAATAGCAAGAACAAAGGCCTAGC